AATAAATGTAAACAAATTGGAATTCCCACCTGCCTACTAAACCATAAAAATTTTACTATAAATTAAACTAATCATTCTTCATTTTAGCTTTTTGCTGCTTCATTTTTTAATTTAAAAATTTACTTCAAATTCATTGCGATGGGATCTATTATATCCCTTGAGATTTTTTCTGCTGATTTCCTTATAACCCTCAACACCCAAAAATCTAATGACCACTTATATATAATAATAGGCCTACTTATTTTTGCTTTAATTTGCTCGAGCCTCCTTATAATTTACAAAATCAAACAAAATTGCAAAAACCGCCAACGAAATGCCTGGATTCCTCCACCTACATTAATGGCCATAATTTTAATTCTTTTAATTTGCTCCCCAATAATAGAAGCTGGAAATCCCAAACGTAATTCCAAATTGCGCAAAACTGTAAAATGGACCGGGAAAGCTTCTGCCAGCCTTTTAGCCTCCTCTGCTGCTTATTTGGGTCTTGACTACCTTGCTGCATACTTACTCGACAACCCAGATCTAAGCTCACTAATTCTAGCAGCAATCACCCTCCTTATAATAACCCTTCTTGCAGCAATAACCCTTTTTGCTTACAAAACATTCACCGCACGCAAACGCCCTGAACCGCCCCCAAACAATATTAAAAATTTGAATGAAAGCGAACTAAAAATTTTAAGGCAATTAGCCTCTCAGGTTAACAATACGCCCCAATAATTTAAATAAATTTCAAATTTTTAATTTAATTTTTTTAACAGCCTTATGCCCAAGGATAAAAAATCTTCCCTCGAAATTATCTTCCAACATCTTAATTTAGAGCAAAAACCTAAACCGGAAACTTCACCAGCCAAAATACAAATGGAACGACCAAAAACACCCCCTTCACCTGCTCTTTCCATTGAAACAACCATTAGTGAGGCACAAAGCCCAGAACCCCTCCCAGAACCTAAATCCATTATAATTGTTTCTACTGAACCCAGCAAACCCAACAACGACTGTATTGAACCAAACAACAAACGACCAAGAATTTACCCCCCATCAAATACAACAACTCCACCAGCCACTAATACAAATGAAAAAACAACGGCTCCAAATAATGTTTACACAAAAAAGCACCTACTCAATAATTTACCGGTAGCAAAAGCCGTCCTTGTCCATAGAGGTAATGAGACATTTTCCACAAAAAATCCTCTATTTTTTAATTTATCCGGCCGCTCTTATGGTATTCAAAATGGTGGTTTTGGTTCTCCAATTCGAAATTTGGCTGCTGTTGCTCGTCCACCACCCTTAATGTCTATCCGCATTCCTGGTCCACCAACAATACAACGCCTCCCTCACCCTTACTTTAACAACAAACATTCACCAACATCATACTATTGGAATAAAAGAAATTGAACTTTCCGTTGCTGGGAATGTCGTTTTACGAATGTCTAAAATTAAAGAATTCCCTTTTTCTTATTTAAAATTTAAAACCCCTTTTTTCCATTAAACAAAAACATATTTGTTTTTATCAAAACACCTGCATTCACTTAAATTAAAATGTATTTTTTAACCGCCTTTGTTTGATTGGTCGTTCTTTGTGCCTTTTTTTATTTTTGTTGTCCAACCCTTTTTTTTATATATCTGCTCTATCCTTTCTGTTTTTCTTCATTCTAAAAATATTCTAAAAAAATTGCTTTTCAACTTTTGACTGAACTTTGCTTTAGCTAATATATTTTTGTTGGAAAAACTTTTAATTGCTTTTAAATAAAATCTTAATTTGTTTTTGCTTAAAATTTGTGTGAGTTATAAATTTTTATTATTCGCGGATTGCTTTTTCCGCGACATCCTTTTCCCTTTTTATTGCCTTTTTTATTTTCGTTTAAATGCCGCCAAAAGTAAATTTAATTTTTTTTCCTTCGTTGCCGCGCATGTCCTCCTAGAGCAATTGAAGGCCTTCCTTTTTATGTAAAAAAACTTGACAAAGAAAAATGGCAAAAATGGAATATTCAATTGATTTTAAATTTAGAATTTTTTTTCTAGAAAAATGACAATCCTTTCCTGTTTTTTTTTCTTATTTTTTTGTGCCGTTATCGTTCTTACACAATTTTTTGGGGCACTCTTCGGTATTGCATCGACCATATAATTCTTATTTAATTTTTTTTCTTTATCTCGTTTCTCGGAAAAATTTTTTTCTCTAAAAATATCGAAAAAATCAAAATTTTTGTCCTACAAAACTCTCAGTCTCGATAACCGAGATTTTTGATTCCTTGTACCTTTTTGGATTAAAAATAGGTATGTTAAATTTTAATATTTTAAATACCAAAAATCTTGTATTATCGAAGCCATAAAAATATTTAACTGAAATATATAAACATTTAATAGTTTATAATTTATATTTTTTTATTAAAAAATTAAATGCCATTCTTATTTAATTTTTTTCGGTCTCGAAAAAAATTGAAATAAATTATTTAGTTTAATGTGTTTGTGAAAAAAATTATTGGAATTATTAAAAATTAAGGACTATGTATATCTCAATCAGTAATCTTAGTTATTTAGATCGAGATTCTTTTAGACTAAATTTTTTATTTCTTTGGATTGATCAAAAAATCCGTCTCACCATGGACTAGCCATCTCAAATACTCAAATTTTGAATTTATTTTTACATAGGTAGATCTCAGGGTCTCTACTTTAAATAAAATCCCTTTCAGGAATTTTAAAAATTTTGTCAGTAAAATGTTGCCTTTTCAACCTAACACTAAATCCGAGTCTCTACTATGAATCTAGACATCCCGAATCCCTAAATTGTGATTTTATTTTTACGTTGGTTAGATCCCTGTACCTCTACTGTAAATTAAATCCCTTCTAAGGAATCTTGTAGATTTTGTAAAAAATTTTTTCCTTTTTTAGTAAATTTAAAGTCTTCTATTTTAAAAACAATTCAAAACAATTCTTCGTCTAAAAAAGTACACAAAAACAATACAAACCTTCCCCAATTTTTCCATTTTTGGGCGCCAAAAATTCTTTGGCAATTCAATTTTGTCGCCTACGTTTTTCCCCTTTTTATTTTAAATTTTTCCTTTTTAAACTTTTTTTTATTGTTTCCGCTTAAATTAATTTTATATTTGCGTGTTTGGGTTTTTATTTTTAAATAAAAATTAAATTAAATTGATTAAAGAAGGTGTGGAGTGAAAATATTTATTTATTTAAATTATTTTAAATTAGTTTTATGAAAACAAAAACTTTTATTACAATGGATTGTTTAATGTTAAGAAAAAAATATTTATTTTTTACACCTTTCATAACATGTTCAATTTAAAATTTTTAAAAGATACATTGAGTTTAGTGTTGGACACAACCGGCTATTAACCGGTTGTGTTTGGTTAATCCAGTTTTAGTGTTTGGTTAATCCAGTTTCAAGTTAATTTTTAAGTTAATCCAGTTTTACTTTTGAAATTGTCCAAGAAAGTTTATTAACCAATACGCTCAATGTTCTGCTATTTCAGTTTTCAGATCCCTTTTTCGATTTTCTCCCCGAATATTAACTACTGGCCAGTCAAACCCCATTTCGAAACCTACAGTTGTTCCGACCGACCTTTTCTATTAACATAACACTTAATTATCCTCTAATATTTTTTAAAAAATTTAAAGTTGTGGATTAGGGTTGGCAGATAAAGATATCTGGATCTAGAAAAAAGTCAGGATCTCCTTAAATTTTTTATTAAAAGACATATCAGGATATCCGGGGTAATATTCCAAGAAGAGAGTTTTGGGTTATCTACCCTAGCTGTGAGTAATCATCGGGTTCTGTGGATTAGGAGTTAACCTTCAGCCTGGGGTTCTATTGAGTAAGAGGGACTTGTAAGTTTCCTGGTACCCTTACCTCGTTCCTAGAATACAGCCCCCGGGGATTTCAGTGGATCCGTCAACCTTATTGAATTTATAGGATTATTAGAGATAAAAATGTCCTTAAATTAATTTTTTGAATCCAAACTTTTATTTATTTGTTCTATTTTTTTACTTTAAAAATATTTAATCCCCCTTTTAAATTTATTTAATTTAAATCCCCCTTCACTCTTTTTTCAATTTAATCTATTTATAACTTTTTTTATTCTATTCAAATTTCCACTATTTTAACACCATTTTTAATGCTAAACAAGTGACATTGACTTTTTTGGAAAATGAGGGAGAGACGAGAAAAATTGAATTTTTATTTATTTTTTGGAGGTAAAGAGGGACCAGCGGGGAACTTTTTTCCTTAAAAAATTTTTTTTTGAACATTTAACCATGTAAAAAAATTGAAAAAATATAAACCAAAAATTACAAACACTTTCTTAAAACATGCCTTATCCTTAATTTTCGTGTTGCCGTAAAAAGAATTGAAGGGAAAGGATATTAATCCTATAGGGAATTTATTTAACCCTTTTTTATAATTCTTTAAAGTTTTTTTTTGATTTTTTTAAAGAATTTTACTTTTTTTAGAAATAAAGATATAAATCTTTATTTAAATTAAAATAGAATTTTTATTTCCAAAAAAATTTTTAAGTTTTATTCAAGTTTATTTAATTTTATAAGTAAGGGACGCTTCTGTAATGCCTTACCGAGTCCCTATTTTGCACCATAACTTTTTTGATTCTTAACCGATTTTAACAATTATTATATCAATCAAAAGGTCTGGATGTTAAGATTATTTTATCTAACGGGATTAGGCTGATCAGATAATTTACTAAAAAGTTACAGCCAGAGAAGTACGCGCAATCGTGAATTTTCATATTTATTCAACCATAACTTTTTGTATTGTGATCTAATCAAATCAATCCTTTTAGATTAAATAATCCACACATCCAGAGCTTTCGATTGATATAATAACAATTTTTATTGGTTACTAATTAAGTAAGTTATGACCCAAAATATGACCTCGACAAGATTATACAGAGATAGGCTTTACCTAAATATTAATGTCTATTTAATACAGACCGTGTCTCAATTTTTCATAATTAAGTAGACCTCAAACTAAGACATATTTTTTGGGACACGCTCAAAACGGTGCGCCCTAACTAGCATTAAGTTTTTTATCTTACCAAATATGGTAATAAACGATTCCTCTCATCGAGCTAAGAAGATTGGTATCAAAACTCATATGAGCTGGGAAATTTTGTTCGTTTATGGCCTATTGGCTTTGTTATGGCTTCGTGCCCTTTTGGGCTACTTTTTTCATTTTGGATGGCCACTAATTTACCTCCATTTTAAAATACACCTCTTTATAAGATCCATTTTCATCCTTAAATGTGTATTATAAAAATTAATATCTGATTGTATATTTATTTTTTTAATCATCCAATTTTAAAAATCTGCAAAAAAATTTTATTTTTGGAATCCTCTATCTACGTAAATAATTTTTAGTCATTTTAATAATTTTTTTCCTACCATTCGGATGTTCACTATTTTTGACTTTATTTATGTCACTGAATTATTTATTTTATCAAAAAAATTTTTGCGGCTATGTAAATTATTTTTTAAATAAAATTTTTCAGTCATTTTATTTTTTAAATTTTCATTTTAAAAATTGCTTTATTTTTTATTCCTTTAAAATAATGCAAAACTTTTTTTAAAAATATTTTTTGATGAATTTTTAGTCATTATTAAATTTTATTTTAAAAAATTTTGATAAAAAATTGTTTTATTAAATTATTAGAGATGCCTAAGACTCTTGGTCCTAAGTCTTGCCTCAAAACTTTTCTTGGGGTTTTTCGGTATTGGTCTCGAATCTTGGAAAATTATCGGTCTTGGACATCTCTATTAATTATTTATTTCTTAAATCTTAGACACTAGTATAAGCCTTACATTTTTATCTAAATACATATTTTTACAAAATATGTATTAGGTCTAATTATTAACATAGTTAGGTTGAAGTTAAATTTTTTTCCTCCAATTTACTCACGATTTTCAATTTTTTGTAATCCCTATTCCAACCTCTTTTGGATGTCAGAAAATTGTCGAGTAAGTATATATTCCGATTCCTTCAACTGTTAGCTTTTAGATATTAACCTGAAACTGTGAATAACTTTTCTTAGAATTAGGTCAAAGATAAGTGTTCATAAATTTCAATCTTGTTCGTACCAACCCATTATTTCACCTCGTACGAGTACAAATTTTGGTACCAGCTAATGAACACAGGTCATGATTGAACCTTTAACTGATATACCTAATTATGTGAAGAATAGTGTGTTTTTATGAGAATATTTTTTAATTAAAATATTGGTGACTTAACAAAAAGAAGGATAAGATAAAAAAGCAATTGGAGCTTCTTTTGACACGTGAGGGCTAGTCTGCTTCATATAAGGTTATTTCAACTAGGGCTTAATTCAAAGTATGGGGATAAACATCCAATTATTTAAAAAATAATCCTCTTTTTTTCTTGGACTTTTCTTCCCAATTAAAATTTTTGCACTTGCTGGTCTTTTTATTAAAAAAATTTTTTTTGTTTTCTATAGAGAGGATTTTTTTCTCATATTTTCATGCATTTATTTATTTTTTTTTATTTTCTCACGCTGTCAACTAGTAGTGTTTTGACAGCTCCAATTGCTTTTATCTCGTGTTTCTTTCCCTCTCCTTTTTGTTGTCACAATTAAAATAAAGGAAAAAATTTTTTCAAAAAAATATTTTTATAATAAACACAATTCTATCTGTGTTCTTTGAATTTTTAATTAGGTGCTAGTACACTCTGTTCCAAAAAGATACGACCACCCTTATTTTTCACTGTAACTTGATGAAAAATCAACAAATCTAACTCAAATTTTAACAAAATATGTATTTCTACAATATTGTTCAAATCTATAAATATCACAGTTGTCAGTTGATAGATAAAAAATTTATCGTTTAAAAACCGAAATTTAGGTGTTCCAAAATGATACGACCACTTGATAGTTCTATACTATCTTGGTACCTATCATTAATTTTTTGTACTATTATTTTACTACAATAAATATTGTAATAAAATAAGAAAAAACTAAGACGGTATCTTTATCAGAAGTCGAGATACTGATACCTCAAAAATCAACGTAAAACAAGGGTAAGGCTTTGTCAGAAAGATTTTCGACCCCTTATAGGTTATTTTAAAATTTTATTTTAGGCCCATTTGAAAGCCCTTGAAATTTGCTACAAGATAGCCTGAGTCTTATTTTTCAGAAAAAATTCCAAAGAAAGATACGGGTCGCTAATCTTCCGAACTCCTATATACCCCATAAAATGTCACTTAAGGTAGCGTCGGACAGAGTGTATGTTAGGAACTTAAGATAGCGTCGAACAGAGTGTATGTTAGGAAAAATTAATTTAGTAATTTTAGCAGGCTAGGTATTCGTTAAAGACATTTACGGAGCGGATTTCAAGAAGTGTTAGCCTACTTATTTTTGGAATCTACAACCTCTGGACCTTTAGATACTTTAACTCATTGTCTAATCACTTTATCTAAGTCCGTCAATGTCTGTCCTTGACTTAATCGTTACATGATATCCGTTTACTTTTCAGGAATCCTAATAAGAGATAAATGGAGCAGTTTATCCTCCTGGTGCCGTATTTAGAGAACGAGGTAGGGGTTAACCAACCCTCAGCTGCGGGAAGATTAACCCAGAATTCATAAATAAGAGTACTTATCAGGTACCCTTACCTCGTTCTCTGAATACGGCCATGAATATGCATAACCTTTTAATCTGTGAAAATCAAGAAAACTAAGAAAATCTACATTATGATCAAAAATATTTTTAATTATTAAATAAATTTCCTGAATCTCAAAATTATATTTTTTTCATATGTATTATTAAAAGATTTTTAAAAGTATTAAAAATAAACACACACTAATTACCTCAAAAAGTAAAAATAAAAACAGCAAGTTAAAAATTTAAAAATATTTTTAAAATGGCTTTAGCAACAACAACATATTCGAGCAGTCCAGGCCGTAATGGACGCCGTCCATCAGCGGCCAGTGTTTCCGCCACTAGTGGAGGAAGCGGGAATTTTTTTCTTTCACCAAATTCTGTTTTTCCAGAAGGATTTAGACCAGAAAGACGAAGAAAAAGCTACGCTGGTGATAATCAAATACCAGATTTATTTATTTATTCGCCTGAAACAGCAATGAGTCCAACACTGACAAGTCATGGGGGCGGGTTTGGTGCTTCTCCTCAACAGGTGTTTTTTGTAAATTTGAATGGAAAATTTTTTAAAAATATTTCTGAAAGTTTTTACATACTGTATATGCTCGAATAAATATCATCTCTCAAATAATTGCCTCCTCTAAATTAAATACCCTCCAGGACAGGTTGAAGCAATACTTACCCCCTCCCAAATATTCTACTTCAATGTCCATCACAGTTAATATTCGAGAATCTAACACTTATCTAGCCCCCTCCCCCCCTCGATTAATTATCCTCTCTAGTCCCCTCTCGCGAAAGGTTGAACCCCCCCCCCTCTCGATTAATTATCCTCGCTAGCCCTCTCTCGCGAAAGGTTGAATTACCCAGGGTAATTATTAGAGCATATACGGTAATTATTAGTAGTTACTCCCATCCGGACAATCGCGGTCAATAAGGGACTCATTCCTTTTTGGGGTGTTATTGCCAGTTGGAGGCTTAATCCTCTTATTTAACCGACTTTATTTTAACAAGTTAACTAAACTCATTTTGAGAAAAATAATAAAATTAATAGGTAACTATAATTTATCATAAGAGTATGTTAACTACAAATCAGAAATGTCCAAATTAAAAATAGAATAAAATTGAAAAACTAAACAATTTTGTGCTAGAAAGGATAGAAAAAGTTAAAGAATTAGATACTATAATGTATCTCGTTTTTAAAACACCACAAAGTGTTGTCATAATTTTGAATAATATCTGTTCTAATAACAGATTGATCTAACACATGTTTTCTTTCCTCACATATCATATTGTCATCATCTGCCTTAATTTAAATGTAATATTTTGATTATACACATTCCCTAACTCAATTGCCGGAACCAGATCCGTGATCTCTTGAACGGCGACCTCGTGTACGTTCACCTCGTGTACCTTGACCTCCTGAATGGCGACCTTGTGTACGTCCACCTCGTGCAACTTGACCTCCCGAATGTCGTCCTTTTGTACGTTCACCTGATGGACCAACTGAATATAAATATTTTAATTAATTCATAAAATAATTTTAAAATCGCTCTTTCAATATTTAATGGCATAGCAAAGTTATACATATATCAAGATAGCTATCTTTTTTCCTTAATTACATTTTATTAAATTACAATTTGTTCTTCTTTCATTATATCGTAAACCCACAATTATATACTTAAGATTATCTATTTTAAAGAAACTTCCGTATGTTGATTCCACATGGATTACATATACGAAAGTCAATTAATTACCTTCATTTCGATTCTCTTTGTTAGAAATGTGAAGTTGTTTGACATACTCGTACAATTTTTGCATATCTGCTATAAGTTCGTTTTTCATGGTTTCGTTATTTTGAAGATCGGCGTTAAGTTTATATATCATTCCATCAATTTGTTGTACAAAGTTAGGATCGTTCTAACAAATGGGAAATAAAAATTATGTTATGATAATTGAATAGAATCATTCAATCTCTCATTTTATTAGTTTCAGGACATATCGATATTAGGACATATCGGGGTAGTTCAATGTACGAACAGTTACCCTACTGCTTTCAGGACCTACAGCCACTGTGTCTCGGATAGTATATTATCCTATCGAGGAATAGTGTTTTTATGTTTTAGAGCAAACGTAACACCGTCCCGATATGTCCGCACACTCTCACTTTTCCATGTTCCCTTCTGACAAAAAATGTCCAAAAAGGGAACCCATTTTCATTACAGATAAAAATAAATCTTAAATATACAAAATATTTTTACCTGATAAAAGTCTCTAACTTTTAAATGGTATTTTAAATGTTCAGTAAATGCTTTGGGATATGTTTTTAAATCCTTATATGCAAGAGCCAAATTTTCATATTGTTTCATGACATTGGTAATCTGTGTCGCAAGTTCAAATTCTTTATTTTTTAGAATAAATTTTTTATAAATTTAAATAACAATATTACGTAATGGTCGAATTGCTATTTCCGGATGAGATGGCGAGTCACCAACTTCTCCGAGCAAAGGAGTAATTTGCTTGGATAATTGAGTAAAATCCTATTAAAAAACTTTATAATTTATCTAATAGCTTTTGATTTAAAATTGTCAACTTTATCAAATTTGTAAAGTCGCTCGACATAACGGTAAAATGTTTCCATATCTTTTATAAGCTTGTGTTGCAAATCTTCGTTCTCTTGAAGATAGGTGTTTTGTTGACTTATTTCTTGATTGATTTCTTGTATAGAGCTAGGATTGTCCTAACAAAATAAAAATTGAAATTTTATAGATAGATGAATAGAATCATTTTATTTACTAGATATTTAGTTTAACTCTCAGCTTTTCAAAATCTTAGTTTACTAGAACTAGAGCTCGGAAGTTACCATAATACCGGTGGTATTTTATGGTATTTATCGATATTTAGTAACAGTAGTACGGTACGGTAACGTGAAAAATTCCGGGGTCTAACTAAAAAGATATCAATTTTCCAAATAAATTCGTATACCTATCTTTAATATTAAATAAAACTAAAAGTCAAATATTGTTACTTGATTTTGTTCAATGTCATTTAACAATTCATTTAGATGAACTTTAATCTCATCTGATTTCGTTTCTAAGTCCGTAAATGCATAAGCTAAATTATCATATTGTTCACTAACATTGGTAATTGGTTTCGCACGTCCTTTTTTAAATAAATTGTTTTTATTAGTTAACGGTCGAGGTTCTATGCCCAAACAAGGTGCTAAGTCGCCAACTCTTTCAAGCATAGGAAGAATTTGGTCATTTAATTGAGTAAAAATCTTTAAAAATGCTTTTATTCTTTATTTGCTACAATGATACAAACTTTATTTTCACGTCCCACTGATTGTTGCGATCCCGAACCTTCCCCTGTGTACATCCCTCCTGAGAGCGATCCTGAAGGACCTCCTGGATTCATTCCAAATAATAATGGAAACAATTGAAGAAGATAAAAATTTAAAAGAATTAAATTGTAAATTTTCATCTTAAATTAATTAAATATTTACCTAACTAGCAGAGGTGGGTCGGAATTCCGATTTCCAATTTCCGACGTTTTTTTTCCTTCCGATTTCCGAAAAACTTTTGATTTACGATCTCCGAGTTCCGACTTTTGAGCCATTTCCGATTTCCGACAGTTCCGTTTTCCGACATCTTCGTCAGTTTCGACCCATCTCTGCTAACTAGAAAAACAATAAATTTCATTAATTTTAATAAAAATTCTGATAGGAGGTTTATTTAGATTAGCGCGTCTTAATGTTTTTCGTTAAAGAAAATTTTCTTTCTTTCTTACCTATTTTAGTTTCGGAAAAATTTTTTTAAACTGCCTAATATTTTATAATATTCGGTTTTCTACTACTAAAACTACATATACCGGATTGTCTCTAATAGAAGCCCATCTCCAATAGAAGCCCATTCGCTATTATAAGCCCACCCAATGAGGGGTAATGAAAAATAGAAGCCCATGCCCCAATAGAGGCGCATGAGTGGTATTGAGAATAGAAGCCCAGGGCTTGTATTAGAGACAATCCGGTATGTTTAACCGTTCAAGTTTTTCCCCTTAAAAGCCCAGGGGCACCATGTTAAAAAAATTAGAGGGCTGTTATTGTAGAAAATTAATGTTTATTGTAGTAAATTAACGAATACAGCAATCTAGCAACATGCTTCTCCTTTTAAGGGCAATTAGAAGCGTACGTAACAGACGTGCCGTAAAACACTTATCGTAGTTAAATAGCCATTCAATTCACAAGACTTTCACTTCACGTATTACTTCCGATCACTTCAAACTTTTACTTTTCCTATCAACGAATTCTTTAAATATTTATCTATTTTTTTTCTTTTTACCCCTAGACAAATTATTTTTTAAATTCATTGATAGACTAATATTGACAAAATATAAACATCCCCTTAAATTTCCTGTCAATACATAATTATGGAATTTATTTTATTTGTGTCGGACATTTGTCCATTGATTTTAACTTGTTATATTTGGCAAACACTTTTTAAGAAAATTTTTTTATTTTTGTGAAATATTTTATTTAAAATATTTTTAAATATAGGGGTTACTTCAATCTCTTAGGGTGTGCTTCTATTAGAGAATGTGCTTCAAATAGTAGAGACTGTACTTTTATTGTATGTTTTTCTAGATTACGTTGATTTTCGGAGTACGCGCCTAATCTTTTGTACTTTTTTATAATATAAGTATATAAGTTTGCTGGAATCTTTGTAGATTTTGATTAATGTTGGTGATAAATTTTTTTGGGAAGTGGACGTATAATTTTGCTTATATACAAATTTTTAAATTAAATATTCTTGAAAGATTCGTATTAATTTATATTTTAATTCAGAAATTCTCTGAAATCCCTTTTGATCCTTTTTAAAAATCGAGATATTTATATGTAATGATTCTAAGATTATCTTATTATGAACATATAATAATCGAAAAAAATGAAGTTTATCTAATAACTAAGATTTATCACAAGAGTATTTTAACTAAAAATCACCGAAAAATGTTTAAATAAAAAATAAAATTCATGAAATTAAAAACTAATACAAATTGTGCTAGAAAGGATAGAAAATTATAGGATCGGTGGAGGGATTGTTAGAAATGAAATGCACATTATGACAAAACTTTAACAATAGATCACAGTAACTAAGATTACTTAACCCGGTATCTCAACAAAGTTTTGAAACTGTGTCTATTTAGCAGGCTTCTGCGGAAATTATTTAAAATTTTAAAAATAGTTAAAATATTTGAAACAAATATACTTCCCTAGACTTCCGATATTTCCATATTTTCAGTTGTCTATCTAAATTATTATTTTGTGATAGTCACGGGAATCCTTCATATAGGGAAGGATGGATCTAGGTATATGTATTCAGTTTTGTCATAATCTTGAATAAAAAAGTCGGCCAATTTTTACTCGTTTTCTTTGCTTTCTCAGCTGGTCTCGCATTCTCTCAATCCTGTCAATACCTTAAGTATAAATTAATATAAAATTGTATCTTGATAATAATGATATTCCTTACTTCAATTTCCTGA